CGCCACCACCCTCCACAGGCAACTCGCGCAAGACTTTGCGCAAGCTTGCTTCAAGTGGGCATCGCGTCAAGCAAAGAAAACTAAATCTTGTCCAACCCTTCATTGATCCTGACCCCGTTGCGCTGGGATTCTTCTTGCAATCCGCCGAGGTGGTTGATGGTGTTTGGCTACAGGGCCCGGCGGTCTGTTTTTTCACGGCGGTTTCTTGGTAATTTAGTAGCCGGGTCTGTAGCTGGGCACATGGGCCCTTGCATGTGCCCCAACCTTTGCACCGGCCTGAACGTTTCATGCACCTTCTAAGGAAGCGAGGGCTTCTATGGGGCTTCTATGGCTGCACATGCTGCGCGATTGCTCCGCGCCGAGCCGGGCCGTCCACTATGAAGATTTAAAATTCATTTCTCACCCTACAAATTAATGCTTGAGATCGTGCTTCCACTATGTGTGCGTGGGCTCACGTTGATCCAATCCGCGTTCGAGTTACATTCTGCACCCGCCTGTCACCTGTCGGTGGCCCCTACAGAGGCGGCGCTCCAAAATGCAGTTGTTTTGGGACGTTTGGACCCCCTCTTCTGGGACCCTCCCTGGGGCCTCCTGTGGGACCCTTCCTGGGACCGCCCCCTTGACCCCCCTTTTATTTGGGAATATTGCTCCTTTCCTGTCCTGGGCTTTGGCCCGTGTGGGCCGGCCCGGCTGGCGAAACGGCGTGCGCAAACGTTTTACAATTAGCCGCCATCAGCCCTCACAGCGTCCTGTAGCTCTCTGCAAAGCACGTCCACGTTGGTGTCGCGAAGATCCTTCTCATCATCGCCGAACTCCAGGATGACACAGCCCACCCTAGCGCAATGAGCAGCTAGGAACTGGAGAGATCCAAAGCATGCGTTTGCGTGGCGACATGTTGTTGTTGCTGCACCAAATTTGGGCGGCCTCTGCTGCCTTTTCTGCCAGAAGCTCTTTGTAGGTCCAGCTTTCGCCAATTCTTTAACCTCAGGCGCGCCACTGCGTGAGTTACATTCCAGTACTGAAAAGCATGTCAGCATACACTCCTCCGATTGATTGTCGTTTCTCGTTCCCTCATCTTCTTCCACTGGGGGCCCTGTTGATTTGGGCGGGGGGGGGGGGGGGGGTGGGGTCCAGAATACTTGGCTTGGAAAACCCAGGGGGGATCATGTACAAACTGAATGCAGTTCATTGTTGTCATGCCGCTGTTACTCTTCGCATCAGAGTTTCGCTTTTCTACAGTTCACTGCACCACTTGCGATTTGCAAAGGAAGTGAATGCTGTTTAGTTTGTGTTGAGGATGTGGGACAAAGTGGCGGCGTCGGACCAAACAGGACGTGAACATGGGGACTTCTTGTTGCACGTCCTGCTCGAGAGTTTAACTGACCTGTGCTCGTCTTGTCCTCCTCCTCCCA